TACCCAGCACTATAGCTATTAAAGTCAAGGTTGGACGAACATTGAATGGGCCATGGTTGAATGGATTTCAGTTTTTCATGAAGTTGGGGATGGTGACTTTGTCAGTACATGCTAATTCTGTGATTTGACTTTCTTTCACTCCAGTGTTGAAACAGCAAGTTCAAGACAATTCCATGATGATACTTCTGCAAAATTCATATCCCCCAGAGGTCTTTAGACAGGTTACAATCCTCATTGAAACTGTTTTGGCATCTGTTATCACAGATACTATTGCAGAACTATAATGTTGCAGAGTCCAATCAGATTAGGTTTGGTCATGTATTTTCAGTTTTCTTAAACTGTTTTCCTTCATGACACATTCTGCTCCCAGTGATCACAATCGCTGGGGTCAATCTAGAGTTATCTACAATTTATTTTTCTTCTTATTAAAGAAAGCATATTTTAATATCTTGAAGTAGCTGTGATTTCACATAAAATATTTCTGAATTGAATTTATTTGCAAATAATTTTAATATCAGCTTTATTTATTTTACTAAGTAATTATAGTGAACTTCACAGTTGGTGGCAGCATAAGAGTCTCATGACACTTTAGTCATAAAAAATATAATTTAAAGATAGGTGTCCTGCCCCAGGATTCAGTTGTATGGCTTCTTATTTTCCCTTGGTAAATTGTGTCTTTATTCCTTTTCTTATATTTTCTTGTACAAATTGTGAGTATTATTTCCTATTTTTTATATTCTGTAGGTATGCTGCAGGATTAAATTTAAATGGCAAGTGCATTCTACCATATTTGGATATATTTGAACAATGGAATAATTTTCATTATTATCATGTTAGTCTAATTCCAGAACTGGAAAAAGAAACAACTATTTTGAAGAAGTACTGTAAACCTTATCTAGCATGAAGTGTTAAAAATATAAAGGGATCATAATAATCATTTAATGTACACCTGCAAGCAATATTTGGAAATGATGATTACCATGACTGGTAGATCAGTAAAAATAAAATATTATGATAAAATCTAAAAATCAGATAGCGACACACCTAAGTATTTTATTTATATAGTATCAAAAATTAATACTCGATTTTTAAGCTCATTTAGTATCAAGTATGCAAGTTTGTAAGTGGTCATCTTGGTGCTTTTTTATTTTGTGATGATGTTTTGTTTTCATGTAGACTTAAGGATGAAGCTTAAAATTAAAGATGAATATTGTAAAAGCTCTTCTCTGATGTTCAGATGCCTTATTTAAAATAATTGGGTTATTGGCAAGACCTGCTAATGATGGAGAAATACCCCTGAGGTCAATTAGCCACAGAGAAGAAACTTCCTAGACTTTGCCCAAAAAGAGGATATGTGGTAGTGTTTTCAAGCCTTATCCAAAGATACCATTTATAAATCAACAAAGACACATATTGCAGCTGAGCTAGTTGGCATTTTTAATCTTATAACTTAACACTTCTTTCCTAGTGAACTAGCAGCTGCCTGGGGCTTGACCATGGAGCTATGTCAGACATATTCATAGGTGAGATTATTTTTTGAAATTATATAATCTTAGATTCTCATATTTAAATGCATGTTGCAGATCATATAATCACTGCTCATCCAAATTTACCTGAGATTTAAATCCTTCTTCAGTGCACAAAGCATCAAGTGAGGTATACTCAACTACAGTACTAACAATTTAGAGGTAAAAATATTTTGGGGTCTTTTGTATTATAAATATATATTTAAATTCATTAGAAGAATAATATAATTAGTTACAATGAAATAACAGAGTTTCTGTACAATTCAAATGTGCATCCAAAATTTCCCCATTATTATTACAACTTCAGAAATTTTCAATGATAATGCACACTTTTAGATGCAGCTTTGTTAAAAACTACATATTATTCAAAGAAAGTGATTATATTTTAATTATTTTGTTCTTCACTTTTGAATATTCCACACTGTTTCTAATTTTCCATAGGTCTTAATAATTGTGTTGAACATATTTATACCTAGTGATCTTTCTCTTTAAAAAATATCTTACATTAGGGCTTATTCCTTGAAAAAGTATTGTGGAGTCAAAGAAAAGCAAGAAAAGTAATTTATATTTCTTCATAGTTGTTATGTTTAATTCTTACTTTATTTACATTTCTAGTCTATTTTGATCTGTTGTGAGATCTTACCTCAGAATGGGGACTTGCAATGAAGCACTTTGATTTAAGATTTGTATAAAATTTTCACCTTAGATGATTAAAAATAAAGTTCTTTATTAATTTATCTTTGAAAGAGAAAGTTACATTTTGCCAAATACATTTTATTATATTTACTTCTCTTCTCTTTGACAAATGTACATCTCCAATTCTCTCACTCTATTAGTAATGTGGTACCCTGTAACTGGATTTCCCCTGTGGCACTAGTGGAAAAGAACCTGACTGTCATTGTGGGAGACACAGAGACCATGGGTTCAGTCCCTGGGTGGGGAAGATTCCCCCGAAGGAGGGCATGGCAACCCACTCCAGTATTCTTGCCTGGAGAACCCAATGGACAGAAGAGCCTGGCAGGCTACAGTCCATGGGGTCTCAAAGTGTCAGACACGACTGAAGCAACTTAGCACCCACTCCTCCTGTAACTAGGAGTGATGGATACTGGATGCTATAAAAGGTGGGAGAAAGCTTGAGAAGGAGTGGGAATGTCATTCATATTACAGATGGGTGTGCTGCTGCTGTTTGGTAATAGAATTTCAGGCATTAATAACAGCTGATAATGACACATTTATGACATATTGTGAACAACATACACAACAACAACAACATAATATATATAGTAAGTATCCAGTAAATATTCCTTGAATGAATGAGCTTGTAGTAGGAACTAATAAGTAATGGATTTTGTATTATAAAGAAAGCTGAGGACCGAAGACTTGATGCTTTTTCAAAGTTCTAAAAATAAGAAAAAAATTAATGAGGAGAACAGAAAGAGTTGGCTAGAAAATTTCGTCGATGCACTATATATATATATATATGTATATATATATATGTACCCCAACGATAGCAAATATATATACATATATATATGTATATATATATATATCCAACGATAGCGAATAGCATTTAGTTAATATTTTTTTATCAAGTCTACTGAAGCGGTAAATTCACAGAATATGACTATGTTAAATTGTATGTAGAACAGGAAATGGTAGCCAATTCCATTATTCTCGCTTGGAAAACTCCATGGATGTAGGAGCCGGGCGGGTCTACAGTCCATGGGATTGTAAAGATTTGGACACGACTGAGCGTGCATGAGCGCGTGCATGTGCGCACGCACACAAAAACACACACACACGGAACATAATATTGAAGAATATAAATTACAAATTAGCACACTAATTATCTTGAAAGTAAAATGACACAAAAAAAGTGAACTTTCCAAGAGGCAATTAAATATTTCCATAATTACTTTAGAGAGTGTGTCAGTTCAGTTCAGTTCAGTCGCTCAGTCGTGTCCACCCCATGGACTGCAGCAGGCCAGGCCTCCCTGTCCATCACCAACTCCCAGAACTTACCCAAACATGTCCATTGAGTTGGTAATGCCATCCAACCATCTAATTCTCTGCTGTCCCCTTCTTCTCCCACCTTCAGTCTTTCCCAGCATCAGGGTCTTTTCCAACGAGTCAGCTCTTCGCATCAAGTGGCCAAAGTATTGGAGCTTCAACCTCAGCATCAGTCCTTCCAGTAAATATCAGGATGGACTGGTTGGATCTCCTTGCAGTCCAAGGGACACTCTAGACTCTTCTCCAACACCACAGTTCAAAAGTATCAATTTACCAGTGCCTAGCTTTCTTTATAATCCAACTCTCACATCTCTACATGACTACTGGAAAAATCATAGCTTTGACTAGACAGACATTTGTTGTCAAAGTAATGTCCCTGCTTTTTAGTATGTTGTCTAGGTTGGTCATAGCTTTTCTTCTAAGGAGAAAGCCTCTTTTAATTTCATGGCTGCAGTCACCATCTGCATTGATTTTGGAGCCCTCCAAAATAAAGTCTGTCACTGTTTCCCCAACTATTTGCCATGAAGTGATGGGACCAAATGCCATAATCTTAATTTTCTGAATGTTGAGTTTTAAACCAACTTCTTCACTCAGAAACTGTTAAATTGGAGTGCAGCTTCCTTTCAATGTCTATTTAACTTTCTCATAAAGTAGAGAGATCATAGGCGGGCAGAGCTGGAGGAGAAGATCACTTGAATTCATCTGAGATTATGGTCTGGGGAAGGAGGTGCATGCTGTTCCTCGGAGAAGGGCCATTCAGTGTCAAACACTCATCACCTAATAGGTCTCAGACACTGAGGATATTATGCCAGCCACTATGGGAGGGACAGTGATGAGACACACCTGAGTAGCTAACGTGTTCTGGCAGGTACCAGTGAGTTTTTGTTACCAGGGACTTATGTACGTTTCCCTAAACTCCCTGTTTATGACAGACACTTGTTGTTCATGTGTTTTCTCTCCACAGATGTGAGATTTCAAATGCAAATTTTCAAGCAAGAGGAAATAACTCTGACTTGTGTGTAGCTCTTCTCAGCTTATAAGACACATCTGAAAATTACAGTTGCTAGCCTCACAGACACAGAGGAATTCACGGAAGTATGGAGCACTTAGATGACTTTGTAGAGTCACATAGAGTTGAAACCATTAGGAGAATCCAGATCTCATGGAGAGAGCCCAGTGCATTATCAGTAAATTATAACATCAAATGTTGTCCTAGGTAAATTATAACATAAAATGTTACAGGTGACAAGCTCTGAGTGTTTGAAGAAATGGAAAGCATCATGGAAAAAAGTAAGAAAGACTTGAAAGGAGAACTGGGGCAAATTACCAAGGATATGCGCCATAGTCACTGTGACCGCACTGTTTTTATTCTGAGATAGTCGGATCACAATGCTATCATGATTAACAAGTATCATTCTGTATTCTTTGTAGGTAATGCAGGCTCAGGAAGGTATTACTTGCTGAATGGATGTCCTCCGGCCTCCCAACAATGTGACGGAATTTGTTCTCTTGGGACTCACACAGAATCCACACCTGCAAAAAATACTCTTTGTTGTCTTTCTGTTCATTTTCTTGTTTACTGTGTTGGCCAACCTGCTCATTGTCATCACCGTCTCCCTCAGTCTCACACTTTCGGCTCTCATGTACTTCTTTCTCACTTATTGGCCTTATTATGCCTCCTTCACCTCTGTGAGCACGCCCAAAATGATCACTGACCTGCTGTTCCAGAGCAGAACCATCTCCTGGGGAGGCTGCCAAACTCAGCTCTTTTTGGGTCACTTCCTGGGAGGATCAGAGATCATTGTCCTCATGGCCATGGCCTATGACCGCTACGTGGCCATCTGCAAGCCTCTGCACTACACGACCATCATGCGACAGGAGCTCTGCCAGCTCCTGGTGGTGATGGCCTGGGTTGGGGGGATTCTGCATGGCACAGTCCAGATCCTTTTCTCAATGGACTTGACCTTCTGTGGTCCCAGTGTCATTGACCACTTCATGTGTGATTTCTTCTCACTGTTGGAACTTGCCTGCAGCGACACCTACAGGCTGGGAATAGTGGTGGCAGCCAACAGTGGGGGCATGTGTTTGCTTATTTTTGTCATCCTGGTCACCTCCTACATCGCTATCTTGAACTCCTTGAAATCCCATGGCTCTGAAGGACGGCAAAAAGCCCTCTCTACATGTGGCTCCCACTTTATAGTAGTGGTTCTCTTTTTTGGTCCTTGTATATTCACCTACACACGTCCTGTGGCCATTTACCCTGTGGACAAGTGGGTGAATATGTTCTTTGCAATCCTCTGTCCCATGTTAAATCCTATCATTTACACAGTGAGAAACACAGAAGTGAAAAAAGCTATGAGGAATCTGTTGAAGAGGAGAGACACTTAGGATATTCAGGATGCCAAGAAAGTGATTATTTATATATATAGGAAGGGTTACACCTGTTTTAGATTGTGAAAAAGAAAGTCAATAAATTTTGCAGATCACTGATGAAAAAGAAAGGCCTATAAAATAATATTTGCTGAATATTTACTAACAGATTGATATTTATTTGTCATTTTGATAGCTTTTAAATTGCTTTGTCAAGGCTTCAATATTCACATTCATAGTTTCAGAATACTTAATTGAAACAACAACAATAAACTCCTAGTTCAATAACTGTAGAGTATATTAGTCTCCAGTGTTTTATTCCTGTTTCCAAATTCTCACATATGTTACATGCATAAAATTGATTTTTCCATAGGACCTTCATGTTAGAATCCCTGTTATTTTCTTAGGCAATCATAAATCCAGTAAAAGAAAATTCTTGATAGATACACGGGAAAGATGGGGAGAGAAAAACTCAATGTTGATTTTTTCTGTTAATTTATGAAATTCAACAAAAGAAACACCCACAGAATGAGGAAATAATAATTCACAATTTAATTTTTTTAGCACAAAAACTAAGCCAGAATTTTGAAATTACTCTTCATTTGCTCTTAAATATCTTTAAATATGTTTATGGCTCACAGCTTTTCTTGAAGCTGAAGGAAATAGTTTCTTTTTCTGTACCAAGGATTGAGCCATTTGAAACTGGGGTGGGTGTTCAGTTCAGTTCAGTTCAGTCTCTCAGTCATGTCCGACTCTTTGAGATCCCAAGGATTGCAGCACACCAGGCCTCCCTGTTCATCACCAACTCCTGGAGTTTACTCAAACTCATGTCCATTGAGTCAGTGATGCCATCCAGCCATCTCATCCTCTGTCGTCCCCTTCTCCTATAGCCTTCAATCTTTCCCAGCATCAGGGTCTTTTCCAATGAGTCAACTCTTCACATCAGGTGGCCAAAGTATTGGAGTTTCAGCTTCAACATCAGTCTTTCCAATGAACACCCAGGACTGATCTCCTTTAGGATGGACTGGTTGGATCTCCTTGCAGTCCAAGGGACTCTCAAGGAATCCAGATAGGAAAAGAAGAAGTGAAACTCTCTCTGTTTGCAGATGACATGATCCTCTACATAGAAAACCCTAAAGACTCTACCAGAAAATTACTAGAGCTCATCAACAAATATAGTAAAGTTGCAGGATATAAAATTAACACACAGAAATCTCTTGCATTACTATACACTAACACTGAGAAAACACAAAGAGAAATTAAGGAAACAATACCATTCACCATTGCAACAAAAAGAATAAAATACTTAGGAGTATAACTACCTAAAGAAACAAAAGACTTATACATAGAAAACTATAAAACATTGATGAAAGAAATCAAAGAGGACACAAACAGATGGAGAAATATACAGTGTTCATGGATTGGAAGAATCAATATTGTCAAAATGGCTATACTACCCAAAGCAATCTATAGATTCAATGCAATCCCTATCAAACTACCAACGGTATTTTTCACAGAACTAGAACAAATAATTTCACAATTTGTATGGAAATATAAAAAACCTCGAATAGCCAAAGTAATCTTGAGAAAGAAGAATGGAACTGGAGGAATCAACCTGCCTGACTTCAGACTCTACTACAAAGCCACAGTCATCAAGACAGTACGGTACTGGCGCAAAGACAGAAATATAGATCAATGGAACAGAATAGAAAGCCCAGAGATAAACCCATGAACCTATGGTCACCTTATCTTCGACAAAGGAGGCAAGGATATACAATGGAAAAAAGACAACCTCTTTAACAAGCGGTCCTGGGAAAACTGGTCAACCACCTGTAAAAGAATGAAACTAGAACACTTTCTAACACCATACACAAAAATAAACTCAAAATGGATTAAAGATCTAAATGTAAGACCAGAAACTATAAAACTCCTAGAGGAGAACATAGGCAAAACACTCTCCGACATAAATCACAGCAGGATCCTCTATGACCCACATCCCAGAATTTTAGAAACAAAAGCAAAAATAAACAAATGGGACCTAATGAAACTTAAAAGCTTTTGCACAACAAAGGAAACTATAAGCAAGGTGAAAAGACAGCCCTCAGATTGGGAGAAAATAATAGCAAACGAAGCAACAGACAAAGGATTAATCTCAAAAATATACAAGCAACTCCTGAAGCTCAATTCCAGAAAAATAAATGACCCAATCAAAAAATGGGCCGAAGAACTAATCAGACATTTCTCCAAGGAAGACATACAGATGGCTAACAAACACATGAAAAGATGCTCAACATCACTCATTATCAGAGAAATGCAAATCAAAACCGCAATGAGGTACCATTACACTCCAGTCAGGATGGCTGCTATCCAAAAGTCTACAAGCTATAAATGCTGGAGAGGGTGTGGAGAAAAGGGAACCCTCTTACACTGTTGGTGGGAATGCAAACTAGTACAGCCAGTATGGAGAACAGTGTGGAGATTTCTTAAAAAACTGGAAATAGAACTGCCATATGACCCAGCAATCCCACTCCTGGGCATACACACTGAGGAAACCAGATCTGAAAGAGACACATGCACCCCAATGTTCATCACAGCACTGTTTATCATAGCCAGGACATGGAAGCAACCTAGATGCCCATCAGCAGACGAATGGATAAGGAAGCTGTGGTACATATACACCATGGAATATTACTCAGCCATTAAAAAGAATTCATTTGAATCAGTTCTAATGAGATGGATGAAACTGGAGCCCATTATATAGCATGAAGTAAGCCAGAAAGATAAAGACCATTACAGTATACTAACACATATATGTGGAATTTAGAAAGATGGTAATGATAACCCAATATGCAAAACAGAAAAAGAGACACAGATGTATAGAACAGACTTTTGGACTCTGTGGGAGAAGGTGAGGGTGGGATGTTTCAAGAGAACAGCATCAAAACATGTATATTATCTAGGGTGAAACAGATCACCAGCCCAGGTTGGGTGCATGAGACAAGTGCTCGGACCTGGTGCACTGGGAAGACCCAGAGGGATTGGGTGGAGAGGGAGGTGGGAGGGGGGATCGGGATGGGGAATACATGTATATCCATGGCTGATTCATGTCAATGTATGACGAAAACCACTACAATATTGTGAAGTAATTAGCCTCCAGCTAATAAAAAAATAAATAAAAGCACAATCACAGTAAAAAAAAAAAAAAGAGTCTTCTCCAACACCACAGTTCAAAAGCCTTAATTCTTTGGTGCTTGGTTTTCTTTATAGTCCACTTCTCCCATCCATACATGACTACTGGAGGAACCATAGCCTTGACTAGGGAGACCTTTTTGGCAAAGTAATGTCTCTGCTTTTTAATATGCTGTCTAGGTTGGTCATAACTTTTTTCCCAAGGAGTAAGCATTTTTTAATTTCATGGCTGCAGCCATGATCGGCAGTGATTTTGGAGCCCCCCAAAAATAAAGTCTGGCACTGTTTCCACTGTTTCTCCATCTATTTCCATGAAATTATGGGACCAGATGCCTTGATCTTAGTTTTCTGAATGTTCAGTTTTAAGCCAACTTTTTCACTCTCCTCTTTCACTTTCATCAAGAGACTCTTTAGCTCTTCTTCACTTTCTGCCATAAGGGTGGTGTCATCTGCATATCTGAGGTTATTGATATTTCTCCCGGCAATCTTGATTCCAGCTTGTGCTTCCTCCAGCCCAGCATTTCTCATGATTTACTCTGCATAGAAGTTAAATAAGCAGGGTGACAATATACAACCTTGATGTACTCCTTTTCCTATTTGGAACCAGTCTGTTTTTTTTTGTCCAGTTCTAACTGTTGCTTCCTGACCTGCATACAGATTTCTCAAGAGACAGGTCAGGTGGTCTGGTGTTCCCGTCTCTTTCAGATTTTTCCATAGTTTACTGTGATCCACACAGTCAAAAGCTTTGGCATAGTCAATAGGCAGAAATAGATGTTTTCTGGAACTCTCTTGCTTTTTTGATGATCCAGCAGATGTTGGCGATTTGATCTCTGGTTCCTCTGCCTCTTCTAAACCAGCTTGACCATCTGGAATTTCACAGTTCATGTATTTTTGAAGTCTGGCTTGGATAATTTTGAGCATTTCTTTACTAGCGTGTGAGATGAGTGGAATTGTGTGGTTGTTTGAACATTCTTTGGCATAGCCTTTCTTTGGGGTTGGAATGAAAGCTGCCTTTTCCAGTCCTGTGGCCAATGCTGAGTTTTCCAAATTTGCTGGTATATTGAGTGCAACACTTTCACAGAATCATCTTTTAGGATTTGAAATAGCTCAACTGGAATTCCATCACCCCCACTAGCTTTGTTGGTACTGCTGCTTCCTAAGGCCCACTTGACTTCAATTCCAGGATGTCTGGCTCTAGTTGAGTGTTCACACCATCATGATTATCTGGGTTGTGAAGATCTTTTTTTGGGAGGGGTGGTAAACATTTTTTATTAAATTTCAATAACAGGTATATGTTTAGGTTGTAAAGATATTGCTCCGTAAGTCTGATAAATGTATTTACGTCACATGGTCATTTTATTTTCCATCAGACACATTCACCTCAGTTGAGTCATCTGTGTCCTAAGCTGGTAGTTTCGTTTTTATTATCCCCACTTTACAGAGAAGAAATCGAAGCCAAGGGAGACTCGCTTGCCTCACATCACGTGTTTCCCTCGTTAGTATGTCAGGGACTGTTACACTGGAGTCTGGTCCTTTCAAGGTTTCAGCAATCAACTTCCAATTCAGGTCTTTCAAACTCAGTCTCACTTTCTTTCCTCTGTAGATGAGGAAAATATCTGCAGTCTTAATGATTTACTTTCTTGCTTAGTCCTGTCTGACTCTTTGCGACCCCATGGATTGTCCATGGAATTCTCCAGGCCAGAATACTGGAGTGGGTAACCTTTCCCATCTCCAGGGGATCTTCCCAACTCAGGGATCAAACCCAGGTCTCCTGCATTGCAGGCAGATCCTTTCCCAGCTGAACCACAAGGGAAGCCCAAGAATACTGG